TCCCAGCACAAGTTGTCCAACCAGCTTATCAGAGATTATACTAAATAATAGAATCATTCCAGTTTTGAAAACTATGAACTCCAATTATCAGATACACCTAGAAAAATTAAAGGTCAAAGATGAAATTCCCCTTTCTCATTAAACACAAAGAAATTAAGGTCCAATACTCATTGAGTCTAATTTGCTACATAACAAGAACTCTTTCACTGGGAGGAGAGAGTATCTGTTCTGGAAACCACTGCATGAACCAAGATCACGGTCCCCGGGTGGGCTGGATGCCTGTTGTCTCCACTCTCATCTCAGGCTGGGAACCATGCTTCCTGGAATCCCCTTCCTTGTATGGTTCTAGGGGCGAGTGTGTCAATGAAAGGAGATCACGTGAGATTTGAAGGCAGAAAGGCAGAGAGCCATTACTCTGCACTGGGGTGATCCGTCACAAGACTTTGAGTCCTCTCCATGAGCTAAGTCATTGCTGTACCACCTTTGACTTACTGTAGTGCCTTCTTGGTCACCTTGCAAGCTCTCTGTTCTCTATTTGCCCTACGCTCAGGCTGGTGTCATTGGTAACTGTGTCTGGGATCCTCCTGCTGTAGCCTTCCAGGCGTCACTTCCTACATCGGTGTAAGCCCTAACGTCCATCTTCAAACCTTTATTCCTGCAATAGCAGTAGTGGCTCTGACTGATCCCAGCTGATACACTGGGCAAACACAAGCATCACTTTCATGAAGAGCCACTTATCGGATCTAAGGCAAGCCAGCAACTGGGATCAAGACACTCACATTCAGTCATTTCCTGGTAACTGATTCCAACTGGAGGGATGAGTTATTTAAACAGTTTATTTTTCACTTACAAGGAAGCCAACCCCTTCTTCTCTTTCTGTAATACCCCGATAACTCATTTTCCTGCTTGAACGAGGTGTCAGTTCCTCATCTCTGAACTGGGGCTGCCATCCTCTCCAAATAGGATCTGTGGTCCTAGGGAGCTTCTAGGCACATCTGCATGCCCTTAGCTGATTCACAGACTAGCACACGAGGAACACACTCCAAGTTGAAGGTCGGGCTCAAGTTCCTTTGCAAAAGAGTCACACTTCATGCAGGGTCACATGGTGGGCTTGTGTTCAAGGACCACCTCAGTCCCTAGGTGGTTACTGAGTAACCACCTATTGTTATTACTGAGTAATACATTCCAGTGTATTATTTCTTAAACTGACTCACCTCCTGACTCATGGATAACATTTGCATTGGTCCAAATTAAGTTTTCATACCATGCTTTTTGAATATATTCCCCAATGCTCCTTCCCAAGGTCCTATGTGCTTCTTTGGTCTAGGAATCCCTCAATGTCATTTGGGTGGTAACTATATCTTGGTCAGGAGAGAGCTCTGGTATGTCTTAATTCTGGGAGTCTTGACTACAGTGGCTACAACTGAGTCCCAAAGATGACAATATCAAGATTCTAAGTGGATTTTAATTCCTGACGGTTCTCTGATACGGAAGAGTATCTGGAGATGGGTGTTCCAGGCAGAAGTAATGACAAGAGCAGATGTCCTGAGCTGGGAGTGTGCCTGGTGGGTTCAAGAGGCAGCAAGGGGGCCCAGACTTGGAGCAGACTTGAGGGAGAGGGGGAGATTAGTGGAAGATGAGGCTATATATGTACCGGAGAGTCAATGGTGTGAGATCCAGGAGACCATGATGTTGACTTTTATCTTGAGTGACTTGAAAGTTACTCAAGCGTTCTGAGAATTGGCTGAAGGGGGGCAACCTAGAAGAGAGATGATGAGAGCCATGTGGGCCTAAGAAATTATGTCTCTCGAGAAACCACACAGATCTGACATAGAAATTGTCACTGATCCTGGACTTTAAATCTGATTAGATGGGATGGTTGGGTCTCTTCTTTCAGGAGGGGGTGAAGGTATCCTATGTGTGAAAAGAAGATTATAAACATATGATTGGTGGCGGAGCCAAAACCCACCTCTGGTTCTTCCGGGACACATAGTCAATTTACCTGCCCAGACTCCCCTGAAGGTAGGTGTGGCTATGGGACTGGTCAGTCTACGGGCAATGGAATTTGAGTGGAGGGCTGCGTGCTACTTCCATGGCTGGCCCATAAACACTGCCCATTTTTGCTCCTTTGTTGCCCTTTCCTCTGCTGGCTCACAGGGATGATTCACCAGGGTGAACCTGAAAGCCAAGTACAGCCAAATGCTGCCTGGCAATGGAATTTAGCATGAATGACCCTCATTCAGAACACAAGCCCTGCCCAGCTGAGGCAACAGTCCTATTAAAATAAATAAGCTTCCCCCAATATTGCATCCCAGTCCCCCATGGTCATGCCTCTAAGCCCCAAATCTGAAGGGAAATCAGCCCCTCAGTTCTTGTGAGCCCAGCTGCCTTAGAATTTCCGACGGGTGTTTGTCTAAGGGACTGATGCATTCTACCTCTTGGGGTAGATAAAAGAATTAATTGTGGAAAGCCGAGTTAACAGCATGCATAGATGAACCTAAGTCTTTGGGTAGCTTGACAAGGGTGATAGATAGGAATGCATCTCTGATCCATCAACTTAAAAATCCTATGTGGGTTGGGGGTGACTCCTGGTGGGTAATTCACCCATTTCAATACTTTCAGTGCTTTAGGGACAGTTCTAGAACCCACGAGTGAATTCAGGTTTCAAGGTAGAATTCCTCTTCTATGGCTTTATCCATGTTACTGTGACCTACCCTCAGTGACCATCTCATAAAAAGCACACCTAACCCAAGCCCCAAATGCCTGCAGCTTGAAACTGCCCTTGCCATCTAGGTTTAAGGAAAGGCTGTTGAGTCTCCTGACGTTTTCACTGTAACATTGCCTCTGCTTTCAGACCTGGCTATGTTGCCTAAAGCTTGTGGTTGCAGGATATCTTCTTATGTATATTAGAAATTGTGCCAGCCAGTTGCGGGTCCTATTCCTTGGTGAGGCTCTATACTACCAGACCCTTCCATATGAGAATTGTCCCTCTCCTACTCCATGTAATTCTGGTGGGGCTGTCAATCAGTCAAGAGTTCCCACCTACAATAGTGGTCATAGGACCAACGATGACCAATCATAGTCAATCTCCACTGGTTCTCAGAGAGAATCTCGTTTTCTTAGATCATGAACCTGGATCTTCTGGGACCCTCTTTTCCACCACATTTTGTAAAGCCATGAAGTCATCGCTTTACACAGGTAAAGCAGGACTCAGAAGCTGGAGGGGGAAGAACAGGTTCCTAATGACAGCTGTTGATCAACTAGATCCAGCCCTGCCCCAAATCGTTTTCCATACCCTTGAACGCTGTTGCATTAGCCAATACATCTTCTAAAATTTACCACATTCAGCTTGTATGAGTGCGATTCCTTACAACTAGCACTTACAATTGGGGGTTCTATTAATGTTCCCATTCACTTGTTTAACTATAAGATGTCAAGGGAGTCTGCATATTATCTCACTGGATACATTTCTTTTCCTTATGGACATGTATCACACATCCACTGCAGCCGTCAGAAGCTCCTTCTTTCTTATACAGTTCATTCTTTGAATCTACTGCCTTACCTGAGGATAGCAAGTTAAATGGAGAAGATGAACAATATCTCCCAGATCATTTATCCCCATGAACTTTTCTCTAAAAGGCAGACTGTTGTGTTACTTTATCACCTTAGAGAATCCCTACTGAGAGTAGCTTTCTGAACAAGACCTTTGCATTCAACCCACTGTTTAGGACCTCACTGGGAAAGCCTCTACTCATCGTAACCCTGTATTTCCTTATTCACTGGAAAAGAGCTAATAGGGTCAATTAAAATGAATTTCACAGGTCCTTGAACTGCCTGCTTCCTAAGTTCTTCCATTTTAACTTTTTGGATGATGCCATTCTAAGGGTTCCAACATTCCAGGCCAGCCATTAACACACCGTTTCTTTTCTACAATGCCCTTAGCTTCGGACCCACCAGCACAATGTGGGAATGATCCTTTAGGCCAGGGGTTGGCAAATGACAAAGCCAGATCCAGCCCATATTGGTAGTTATTGGAACACAGTCACACCCATGCATTTATGTATTGTCCATGGCGGTTTTCGTAGTTGCTACAGAAACCATATGGCTGCAAAGCCAAAAATTATTTATTATCCGACCCTTTACACAAAAAGTTTACTGATCTCTGCTCTAGATTAGCATTTCTTGATTGTTTCCTCATCCTAGCACCACAGAAAATGGTACTCTGAGAGAAAAAGGAATTAATATCTTGACAAGCCTTTGGGCATCTTGTTTGGTAAAGTCTACTCTAGACCACTTGGGGCAGGACATGACCTGGTATATACTTGGGACACCACTATCTGATAGCCTAGTCTTCTTTTTGACATATCTGGGTACAAGTACATGATCTACATCTTGGTTCTGTAAGTCCTATGTTTTGATTCCCATGTAGATTTTAATTTTGGTCAAGGCCAAGGTTATTTTTGTTCATGGGTGGTGGTGGTGGTGACCTCCTGGGCACGCTGACTTCCTGTGCAACTGTACCTGCAGCGTAAAACGAGACTTGTAAGAGCACAAAGATGCTCCCATCACTGGTGGGATGAATGGGAGCCATTTGTGGTTCAAAACCAATTACCAACATACCTGTGCCTGAGTTAGAGCATGTGCCCCTGAATATGTGCCCCTGTTCCAGCTATCACAGCCACTTGCTTCTTTCCTTCAAGCAGTGCCACAGTGAAGTCACTATGGGCAGAGAGGGCATAGTTAATGCCCATATTCTGAACTGACATCCCAGGGTTCTTGATACGAACTGGTGTCCATGGAATACTTACCTCTGTATTCCAACCACACCAAATGTGGAATCCTTAAACGGCCACCATATTTTGAGGTCCCATCAATATTCTCTCACCTTTTCTCAATTTATTAGGGCATACATTCATTGCAGAAGCCATGACAGAAGCGGCTGTCCACTCTTTATATCACCATAGAGAAGAAAGGGGGGTTGAGGACCATTCACACCAACAGAAAGAATGAAACTGCAAGTTTATTTGAAAGTATAAAATTAAAAAAAAAACCTAATCAAAAACCAAAAGCAACCACGCACAACCTTTCCAGTTTACATCAACTTTGAATGTCACACACGATTTATTTACCACTTGCTTGCATTTTTTTAAAATGTCAATTTCAAAGTAGAAGGAGTTGAGGGCAGGTGATAATGATCATAGCTGAACGATTTTAATGCTAAAATAAAAAGGACTCGCTGATCTCATTTGCGAAAAGAGAGCAGGGATGGTTTTCTGATCGGCATAGATTTAGGCCATGTATAAAAAAACATCCTCGTTGGAATGAATTAAAAAATAATGCTGGCCACCTATTTGCTATTTTGAGTAGGGGGAAAAAAACAAAACAAAAAAACCCTGCAGCTTTGGTGTCCTATTTATATCTTTTTAAAAACAGCCATTTAAAAAAATCAAATCTATAATAAAAACATCCCTGTGTTTGTTTTAAAAAACAACATTAATAGGCTCTCCTTATGCTACTAAGGCCATCTGTCTTTCCTAAGATGCCTGGAAGCTGAAAAGCGCGTGAGACTAATTCATCACATGATTAATTAAAATCAGAATCCTTTCCTCTAAACAACTTCCAGAGCACCAGAAAGCAGCAGGGGCCACCAGAGGGAGAAAAGAAGCCACTCTGGCTCACAGGAGATGAAATATTCAGCTAGAGTTCCTCACATACTTCGGCTGCCACCAAAAGTTCTTTCTTCACTGGATTACTCAGAAAATAACTCACGTTATTTTAAAAATGAAAGATGTAGGCAACTATGTTCCTTTTCTTAACTTAAAAAAAAAAGTCACCAAGTGGCTAGCTTTCCTGTAACACACTTTGAATTTGGTTTAAAAAAAAAAAAGCCTACAGAATAGGATCATTGAATGCCACTTCATCCCCCCTCCTGCAGGCTCCGTTTGAATAAGCATCAAAGAGGTTACTGACCACGTGGAAAGCAGCTCTGCATGGGTGACAGCTGCCCGGAGTGGCTCCACTTGGTTCCAGTTTTGTTCCCCCACAGTCATTAGTGTGGATTCTTGACGAATAACACCTACGTTTCCACCCATGACTTCCTGAGGGGGTTGGCACTGTGGCTGGCTGGGCACAGAGAAAGAGGAAAGCTACCATAAACACAGAGCCTATGAGCCGAGGGAGAAAGGCGTCCCTCTTTCTGCGTCCTTCAAGAACTCGATAAATAATAACTCAAAGTGCAACAATGCACAGACGCCTGGCACACAGGTCAGTCTGGGGGGACTTGTTACTAGCGTGCTCAGTGGGACAAAGGAACCATCATCTCCTTTTGCATCTCTGCTTGGACCTCTTTAATGGAAAAACAAACAAACAAAAGACAGCTTTCCTATACACATATAAATAGTCCCTTAACTAGAAGGGAAAAAACAAACACACTGTTTCAAATGCATTTCTAAGAGATTAAAAAAAAAAAAAAAGTCCGAATGGCAAATCTTGACTCCAAACTATCATCCATGTCTCTCAGAGGAGAAACTATGGGATGCTCGGAGAGGCCCGAGCCTCGCTCCGATTCCAGCCCTAACCCTAACCTGCAGCGCAGGAATCTGGGCCTTGGGAAGGGGGGTGAGTGCAGCTCAGGAATCCAGGCTCTCTCGGGGGAGGTACTGAATTAGGTTCTCACGTTGAGTTAGAACCTACAGTGTTCTCCAGTCCAAATGCACAGGTAAAATGACTGCTGAGTGTCAGGGGGACTTAGGGGGCGAGTGCTGAAGCTGCATGAATGGGCAAGGCAGGCTGGGTGCGGCTTACAGGGACAAAGGGCCAGATTTCTGGGCAACTCAGGTTTGGTACTCATCCCTTGTTTTACGGGCAGGTCACAGCTGGGAGGGAGACGATCCAGAAGCCAGGGAAAGGACTGTGGACCACAGCAGACCCAGGATCTTGGCAGCCTGTACTTTAGGAGCTGAGAACTCAGATAAACTCATGGTGGGGCGCCCTGCCTGCTCTGGAATGAGGCTGACGATATATGATCCTGGAGAAAGCTCTCAAAACGAGGATTCTCGGACAAAGTTTTAAATCCAGACTCTATCCAGACCTGATGGTTTCAGAGTCCTTCAGAAAACCAGGATGACACTGTTGACTTCTGAAGGGCGTGACTCACGGCAACAGGGTTCTTTGGCCCCGACCCAGAGCAATGAACGGCCTAGTGCAAGGCGGGTTCTGACGCTCCCCTGGATTCTCTCCAGAGTGGCCGTCCAATGACAGCCTCCTGGTAGGACCATCCGACCCAAATCTCCAAATGGAGCTCTAAGGAAGCAGCCCACAGAGAATCTGGTCCAGTGTCCCCTGCCCTTCTGAACACCCCACACGGCACAAACACTGCTTTCTCAAGGGCCACCTAAGTACCGCACTCTCCGGCCACCTGCTCAGCAAGGTTCCAGCAGTAACAGAATGATGTGCAGAGTGAGGCTGTGATCCTGGGCCCCGAAGGAAGAGTAACTGCCCAGAAAAGATGCACATACATCAGGGCAACTGAGAGGCCAGAACAGTGCCAGGTCGCCCTCCAGAGAACATCCCTGAAATCTGGGGAAGGAGGTGAACGGAGAGAGAGCTGACACCCCGCATCACTCCTTGAGGCCTCCCGAGGAGCTTCCCATGAGCGCAAGTTGTTAGGATGGTAACAAGTCAGAGCAGATGAGCCCATGTGGACTTTGGAAGAGCTGGATTTTATACTTCTTCGGCGCCCCGGCTGGGTGCAGAGTACCTAGGCTCCGTGGTGCCTTCCTGTGGGCCAGGCTGCCCCGGCCTGTGGCCCGTGTCTTCCATACTTAGGAGGCTGCTGGCTGCCTGGGAACTGGTGCTGTTGGCGCTGCCAGACCGGGAGCGGTAAGGGGGCAGGTCGGCTTGGTTCAGAGACTCGGTGTCTGAAGAGTAGGGCGGTGGAGGGAGGTCGTACCATGCGGGTCTGCGATGGAGAGAGCAGGATGGGGCGGGGTGGGGGGAAAGTGGGGAGAGGAGGGGGAAGAGAAAACATTAGGAGCCCAGGCACAGCAGGCAATGCCAACGTCTGCCCTTTTCCGAGCGGATGCTGACATCGGGGATGAGATTTTCCTTCCCAGGAGAAAGGCAATCCAAGGACTAGGAAAACCAGTGATTTGTAAGAAGACGAAAGGAACAGGTCAGCGTGCTCTGCCTGGCCTGTGCCAACTGGACAGTGCCCAAACCACAACCTTTGGTAAGGAGAATTCTAAATACTCCCCGGCTCATCCTGGGTGGTCTGGCAGGGATTCACCTGGCCTGGTGTTTCGATAGAGCCCCTGACAGTCCACAGAACTGGGGGTCCTTACTGAAAGCCCACTCTTACTGGCTGTGCGGACTTGGGTGAGAGGATATCCTCTCACACCCTCAGTCTCCCTATCTATATAAGGGAGTAATAGTGACACCTTGCTTGCAGTGAAATAACTTAAAAGACATTTTATTTTCCAGCTCTCATTTATGGAAGGCTTACTACGAGTCAGGCACTGCGCCACCTACCTTACATCCCTTATTTAATGCTCACAAGAATTCTAGGAGAGAGCCATTACTTTCATGCCCATTGTACTGGGGAGAAAACGGAGGCAAAGGGGCATTAAATGGTTTGCACAGGATCACACACAACTAGTAAGCAGCAGTGCTAGGATTTGAACCCAGGAATTCTGTCTCCAGATGCAGCAGTTTTAACCTTGCTCTACAATGGATGGTCCAAATGAGTGAGGTCTTGTGTTCTTATGCTTATTTGCGAAGATGTCCTTAAGCACCGCTCCTTGGAGCTTTGTTTATCTTTTATGAGGAAGGAAAAGGAAGATTAAATAATACAAGAGCTGCCACCGGAGAGGGTTCAAGGAGGAGCCCAGTTAGCCCAGGAACACTGCCTGCAAAATGCCTCGTGCCACACCTGGTGAGTCCTGGGCTCAGTGGAAGAGGAACGCTGAGCAGGGTCCCTGCAGGGCAGGGGATGCTGAGAACCAAGGGGGGACTCAGGTAGCTGTAGTCCCGGGACTTCAAAGTGGGTTCTTTGGGTACCTTGGAGGTCACCAAAGGAGAGAGGAAGGCTGAGCAGGCAGGAATGAGGTCTACTACTGGATCCAACTACAGAACTCTGGGTTTTAACTTTATATTTTGGGGTTCCTTGTACAGCTCCACCTGTGATGAAGGTTCTACTGCTTAACAAAGCTTGAGAGTTCTCTACGCCACCTCCCTTTATTTTATAGATGAAGCCAAGCAAAGTTAAGGAACTTATTCACTCATTCATTCACTCACTCACTCACTTATCCATTCATTCATTCAAATAGGAACCAAACCTCGAGTATATACTGGGCACTGTTCTGCGGTAGCAGGTGAGTGCCCAGAGCTGGTCAGGGTCCTGGACGTGTGTCCGTGTGGCATTACCAGGGAGGAGGAGGGATCTGAACTGGCCAGGATCCTAGCGGTATGTCTTCAGATGAGTAACTTAAAAATCTCAGTTTTCTCGTCTGTAAAACTGAGGCACATATAGAACCTCCCTCGGTGAGTGGCTGTGAGGACTGAATGCGATGATACACGTGAAGCGTTTTGCGAAGACTCAGTAGAAGTCAAAAGCTGCCGCCGCCTTTGCAGCTGAATGCAGGCTCCTGGCAAGACCAGGATCCCAGGCACGTGCACATGGACGCCCGCCCCTGCGTGGGATGACCTCCCTCCCCGAGGCTCTCCCAGCACGCACCTTTGGTCCAGCAGGGCCTCTGAGTAGGAGGGCGGGGAGCCCACGTCAGACGCGTTCTGCTCGGCTTGGCTGGCCACGTACTGGATGCCATTGTTGACGTTGTAGGTGACGTTGCAGCGGTGAGGGTGGTCCAGGACCACCAGGCGGGAGAGCAGCACGGGGTGCTGGAGCCGGTGTACTGGCAGCGTCATGAGGTTGTTGCGCTTCCGCTGGTGGTGCAGGACCAGAGCCAGCAGGGCCACGACCAGCACAAAGATGACGGAGCTGCCGATGATGGCATAGGTGATGCTGGGATAGTACACGAGCTGGTTCTCCGAGGTCACGAACACCTGCCCGCTGCCTGGTTCTGAGAAGCCCCAGAGGCGAGAGAAAAGGAGACAGGTTACCAAGTCGGCGCACCCATCTGCCGCAAAGTCAGGCCCAGGACGGGAATGCAAACGTTCGCAGGAGCATGGTTCACGATAGCCGCAAAGTGGAAAGCACCCCAATGTCCATAGGTCGGTGAATGGATAAACAAAATGTGGGCTGCCCATACAACGGAATAGAATCTGGCCATAAAAAGTACTGGTGCATGCTACAACGTGGACGAGCCTCAAAAACGTGCTAAGCGGGCTTCCCTGGTGGCGCAGTGGTTGAGAGTCTGCCTGCCAATGCAGGGGACGCAGGTTCGAGCCCTGGTCTGGGAGGATCCCACATGCCGCAGAGCAGCTAGGTCCGTGAGCACAACTACTGAGCCCGCGTGTCTGGAGCCTGTGCTCCGCAACAAGAGAGGCCGCGATAGTGAGAGGCCCGCGCACCGCGATGAAGAATGGCCCCCGTTCGCCGCAACTAGAGAAAGTCCTCACACAGAAACGAAGACCCAGCACAGCCAAAAATAAATAAATAAATAAAATTCAAAGTACGTTTAAAAAAACAAAACAAACAAACAAAACAACAACAACAACAAAAAACGTGCTAAGCAAGATAAGCCAGACAGGGCTTCCCTAGTGGCGCAGTGGTTGAGAGTCCGCCTGCCCATGCAGGGGACACGGGTTCGTGCCCCGGTCTGGGAAGATCCCACATGCCGCGGAGCAGCTGGGCCCGTGAGCCATGGCCGCTGAGCCTGCGCGTCCAGAGCCTGTGCTCCGCAACGGGAGAGGCCACGACAGTGAGAGGCTCGCGTACCGCAAAAAAAAAAGATAAGCCAGAGACAAGAGACCACATAGTGTACGATTCCATTTATATGTGTCCAGGAAAGGCAAATTTATAGAGACAAAAAGTCGATTAATGGTTGCCAGGGGCTGGGGGTGGGAATGGGATTCACTGGTGATGGGCATCAGGGATCTTGCTCGGGTGATGGGAATGGAAATGTTCTAAAACTGGATGTGGTGATGGCTGTGCAAAGTGATACATTTACTAAAACTCATTGAGTTGTACAGTTAAAACGGGCAGATTTTATGTCATGTAAATTATACCTCAATAAAGTTGTTAAAAAAAATCAGCCCGGGGAAATATAATATCCAGGGAACAGGAGTGATAGTTTCAGTGACAGAAATCAATTTTTCTCTGGAAATTTATCATATCACATACGTGAGGAACACTGGCCAGTGTGTCTGGGGTTCCTTATGTCGGCAAAGTATTTATTCAATGCCCGGCCTTTGCCAAGCTTTCAAGATGGAGAGCCAGCAGAGCACAGGTTGAAATCATGGACTCTGGAGCCAGACTAGGTTCAAACTCAAGCTATTCAGCTGACTGGCTGCGTGCCCTCTCGGAAGTGGTCAACCTCTCTGTGCTGTAATTTCCTCATCTGTGAAATGGGGGTGGTATTAGTCCCCACCTCACGGGGCTGTCCTGAGCATGAAATGAGTGAATAATTATCAAGCACTTAGAACAACAGCTGACACACTGCGGGTGTTCAAGACATACCAACATGTGTTTTATCACAGCTACTTGCCTCACAGCAACTCTGTGAAGTAGGTGCTGTAACTGCCTTCTTTTTAAGATGAAGAAAAGGAAGCTTGGAGAACTTGGGTCCCCTGACCAGGGTCACAGGGTTAGGAGGGAAGGGGCTGTGCCTGATTTGAGCCCTGTGGTCTGACTCAGAGCCTTGCCTCTGACACTCTGCCCTGCAGCCCCCTACCAAGACCAGCTAGGCAACCGGCACGCATTTCCTCAGAGGCCCTAGGACGAAGGCCTGGTACACGCCCCAGCCCTGCAGGCTGCCAGGCCCCTCCTCTCCACGTGCACTAAGGAGCCACACTTCCAACACTCAGGGGAGAGGCTTCCCCGTCAGCAGGACACACCTGGCAATGGTGGCCAGGCCCAGGCTGGCCCAGGACACCAGAGTGGCCCCTCCTCGTAGAAAGTCGGGACCCCTCTTCTTTGCGGAAGAGCCACAACTACCCACAGCTGCGGCCCAGCTGCAAAAATAATCTAAATGCAGCCTAAGTGAGCAAGTGTGCGACCACACCCTGGGCCCGTTCAACCTCTGAAGCCGTGAAGAGGTTTTAGTGGGTTCACAGTGGCCAGCGTGTAGACGTTAAGTGGCAGCACCGCCCGCTGGCTGCTCGGGTCCTGCGCCCCTCATCACTGGATCGCACATGCTCCGTTCATCATAGATCTCCAGTGAGTTGGATGGTGTCTGGCACAGAGTCGACACCCAATAAATGCATCCAACTCAATGAAAAAAAAATCTGTGTATTCACACACCCTGGTAAGGTAGGTGCTATTATTAGTTTATTATTCCTGTTTTTCAGATGAGCAAATTGACTCAGAGGTGAATTAAGGTGTCTAAGTGCACAAAAGAACTAAGCAGGGGAGTCAGAACGAGAACCCAGATATTTCTCCTTCAAAAGTCCAGGTGCCATGCAACACACCATCGCCCCTCCTTTCCCGACACAAACAGTTCCTGATTCCCCACATCATCCTAATCTGACACAAAGAAAGACCTTCCCCCTCAAGCTCCAGGCTGTGTTAATTTTCGTTCCAGTCACACTCAGACATGGACTAAAGGCTAAGAAGATTCTCCAAGTTCCTGTCGGTCACCGTTTCAATGATGAACTGTATAGAAAGAAGCAAGCAAGATCCCAGAGGGGAGGCAGAAGCGTGCGGCAGAGGGTTACGGGAGAAAGGACTGAGGGAGTTCTGTCTGCTCTCAGCTTAGATAATTAAAAGCTGGGTGTGTATATATATATGTGTGTGTGTGTGTGTGTGTGTGTGTATGTTTCAGATATATATGTGTGTGTGTGTGTGTGTGTATGTTTCAGATATGTGTGTGTGTGTGTGTGTGTGTGTGTGTGTGTGTGTGTGTGTGTATGTTTCAGATTTCAGGCCTAAAAGAGAAGAGCCTCTTTATTTCACCTCTAGCACAGAGCTGAAGGGTCGAATTCTGGGGCCGTCACTGCTAGCTGCTGCTCAAGCAAGTTATTCAACTTTGGGCCTCTCACTGTTGTGGCCTCTCCTATTGCAGAGCACAGGCTCCGGACGCGCAGGCTCAGCGGCCATGGCTCACGGGCCCAGCCGCTCCGCGGCATGTGGGATCTTCCCGGACCAGGGTACGAACCCGCGTCCCCTGCATCAGCAGGCGGACTCTCAACCACTGCGCCACCAGGGAAGCCCTATCACAACAGTTTTTGAGCAGATGGGAACATCCTGAGGAGGAGGGCCTTCTTCTAATTCACACAGAGGTGGTATCTGGACTGATAGAAGGACTAAAGCAACTGACACCTGTGACTTGGGGTTCCTTTGCTTCTAAAAGATTCCCTCCTCCAGATGCAAATTGCATTTCCTACAGGATATGATTATTCACCTCTCAGACTGGGCAAAGGCGAAGTCTGAGTTCACATTTTGCTGGCCAGGACTTGGGAAAACAGGTATAATTATTCACGCATGGCTGGTGGGAGGGTAAATTGGTACAACCCAGGGTGGTGATGGGGTTAACAAGATAGATCAAAATAACAAACATACATTAACAATACATATCAAAATAGAAAAAGTACATATCCTTTGACCCAGCCATTCCACTCTTAGGAATCTAACATATATATATATACTCACACAAATGAGAAGTATTAATACAAGTATTCATGGAAGCATTGTTCGCAATAGCATGTATATCAGGAAAGATCTAAATGTCCGTCAATTGCAGCCTGGCTAAATAAATGATGGTGCCTCCAGACGTACCACACCTATTTAAGAAACTAGGGCAGCTCTACATAGACTGATGTGAAACAGTCTGAAAGATATCGTGATAAGCTGAGCAACAACAACAAAAGTCCAGTAGAGAATGTTCTGAGTATTTCCAGAAGGACACACAGATCTGGTACGACTGGGAGAGAAGAGAGGCAAGAGGAAGACGTATTTTTCATTGTTTACTCTTTTCTACTTTGTATTATTTATACTGTTTTATCCAGTCAAAAAATAAGCATCCTGTCTCTTCCTCTGGCTTTGCCTAGGCTGATGTGAGTAGAGGTTTCATGACTGGTTTCCTTCCTTCTCTCCCTGTAGTGTGAGGGCTCCTGGGGAAGTTTCACTGCCACTCACTCACTCGGACCCCTCCCTGAGTCCAGAATTCCTGTTCTAGAAGGTTCACTGCCCTGTTCAAACCGACGCCTTACCATTCTCCTGAAAGCTCAACTGCCTCTTTAAAAAATTTATTAAAAAAATTTATTTTTAAAATTAACTTTTCTCCAGAGTAAATATTTTTAAAAGTCAGGTTTAGTGAGGTATAATCGATACACAATAAAACTTACCCTTTTAAAATGTACAATTAGATGAGTTGGAACCAAATGTAACAGTTGCAGGAAGCATCACCACAAGCAAGATATCAAACATTTCCATCCCTCCCGTCATTGACAGCCACTTGGGAATCACTGATCTCTTTTCTGTCCAGATAGGTTCATCTTTTCCAGAAAGTCAGGTAAGGGAATCATCTAGTAAGTAGCCTACTGTGTGTGGCTTCTTTCGCTTGGCATAACGCTTCTGAGGTGCACCAAGGTTTCTCTGAGTGTTACTATTTCATTCCTCTGGACCGTTGAGCAGTATTCATTGCTTGCATGCAACACTATTTGTTCATCCGTCCACCAGTTAAGGGAGGGAAGTGGTTGTTTGCAGTTTCCGGAATGCCTATCTTTGTGCTGACATATATTTTCCTATTTTGGCGGGTATATACCTAGGGGCAGGCTGCTGGGTCGTATGGGAAGCGTATGCTTAATTTATAAAAAACGATCACACTGTTTTTCAAGGTGGCTACAGCACTTAGCCTTCTCCCAGTTGCTCTGCATCCTCCCAGCATGTAACATAGCTAGCCTTTTCAATTTCAGCCATGCTCACAGGTGCATGGTGGTATCTCACTGAGGTTTTAAGTTG